ACAGCACAAAAATTGAAAATTAGGTGGAAAAATACATTTTTTTATGGAAAATATTCACAATCAAACGCACACTAAAATAAATTGATAAGATATTGACTCTTATTCGGATGCTTGATCTTTGACTTCTTTATCTCAACTTGTTTGGATTAGATTTGGTTAGACACAATCATGCTACCTCCTATTTATTACTTTATTAACCATTATACTTATTATTAAATTTTACTGTCGATGTTCAATATAATCATATGATCAAAAGTAAGATAATATTTTTCGTAAAAAAATTATTAATCAAACATCACAAAAATAAAAAATTAAGTAAAAAAATATATTTTTCATGAAAAATATTAACAATAAAACGCAACCTAAAATAAATTGATAAGATATGGCCTCTTATTCATATGCTTGATCTTTACACTTCTTTATCTCAACTTGTTTGGACTAAGATTTGGTTAGACACAATCATGCTACCTACCATTTGTTACTTTACTAACCATTATACTTTTTATTAAAGTTTACAGTCGATGCTCAATATGATCAGGTCACTAAAAGTAAGATAATATTTTTCGAAAAAAATTATTAATCAAACAGCACAAAAATAGAAAATTAAGTAAAAAAAATATATTTTTCATGAAAAATATTGACAATAAAGCGCATTTTAAAACAAATTGATAAGATATGGGCTCCTATTCATATGCTTGATCTTTAGACTTCTTTATCTCAACTTGTTTGGACTAGATTTGATTAGACACAATCATGCTACCTACCGTTTATTACTTTATTAACCACTATACTTATTTTTAAATTCTAATGCTCAATAATTGTGTAGATTAATCCTTTTTTCTTGTCGTTTTCGCAGGTGGTAAATTGTTATTAATTGCAATTGTAGATTAGGTCTGTGAGTTGAATATAATATGATGTTTATCTTAATTGCTAAGGTTTTTGTATTTATTTTTATTTGGAAGAATCCCAATACTTGCTTGACTATAACTCATCAACTTTTGGCCCATCAAACATTAATTTTTATAATACATTCATGATATTCATAATTTTTATTAATTTTTCGATCTCAAATTTCATCCAATTTTCTTGAGACACTATTTGAGCCACATTATTCCAAAAATGAGATTAAAAAAGTCGACCGTTATACAGTAAAAGAACCCCACTCTGGCAGTAATCTTTGACTTTGTTGACAGCAATTAGGTAAAAAAAATTTGAAAAGACATTAAGGTCCCTAACTTGTTTTATACATTATTTCATAACAAGGACAATTTTGACATTTCATTTTCCAAAAAACGGCTGACTTTTTTTTTTCACATATTGCGGCTACATCGCTGTTTATTCTACTGTTGCAATGATCTCATTTTTCATGAAAATGAGAAATTAATGTGCACTGAACAGAAGCTGAATAACCCCTTAGTTTAAACTTTGATATTATTTTGATAGCTCGTAAAGAAATCAAACTAACATATAAGATTTTTTTAGTGTATTTTAACTTATTTTTCTTATTTAATATGATTAAGTATTATCTAATCTACTTCTAGAAAAATATTACCAACTTAACAATATAAGTCTCATTGAAATGGTTTAAAATCAAATCAAAAAAGTTTTAACCTAATTTCATCACTAAATAAAGCGAACGAACAATTCATCACCTAAAATTTTTCATTATATTACCTCATTCAATGATAAATTACAACTTCTCAGTATAAAAAAAAAATCGTATTCTTCATTTAGAGTGGTGATGATAATCCTATGGACTATGGAGTCATTTACATATTATTGAAGGAACGAATATCCAAATACAGGGACACATCTTAAAAATTATCTCTTTTTCCTTCTTTTCCAACAACTTTCAAAAATAAGTAATTATGATAAAAATCCAAAAAGAATGTTGTAATGCACGAAGACTTATGATGTGTTTGATGGATATTGTTGAGGAAAAAATGTATTTTAAATAATGATATGATGAGAAATATGTGGTTAAAAAATAGAGAAAAATTATTTATGTGATAAAAAATATTATTATATTGAAAAATGTGTGGTTGAAAATAAGTTTTGAAATAATGTATTTTAAAAGATTGTGTACCAAACGGGATCTTAGACTATGTTTTTCTAAACCTAAAAAGTATAAAATGGCGCATAGATAACTTTTTGTCCACAAATATATTTATGGGTTATTTGAGCCCCATTTTTTGGAAGAATGTATTTTTAATAGTGATTTTTTACAGAGGGTGTGTTTGATCCACATTATTTTGGAAGAATGTATTTTGGAATAGTAGATTGATGGAGAATTTGTGATTGAAAAAAAAGAAAAAGTTATTGATGTAATGGAAAATATTATTTTATTAAAGAATGTGTGGTTGAAAATGAGTAGAAGAATGATAATGAAAATTTTAATGTGTACCAAATAGGGACAGAATGTGTAATTATAAGGTACGAATTTTTTTTGAGTTGACGTGTAAAATTATTTTATTGAGAAAATGTTTGGTAAGGAAAAATGAGATTTAAAATAATGAGGCTCAAATAGTGACTTAGATAACTTATTTCTATACTTTTAGATTGAAAGTAATTCTTACTCAAAATAAGTACTTATTTATCTTAACTTCTTAAGATTAGCCAAACGTGGTTTATTTGGATAGAATCTCATTCTATATTAGGCCATGTTTGATAGGGAAGTTTTTCATGGAAGATGGAAAACTTTTTGTGCCATTTTTCACTTTTTAGAGTGTTTGAAAGGAAACATTTTTTAGGTAATTGGTTTTACACCTTCTCNGGAAACATTTTCCAAGTAATTGGTTTTCCACATTTTCTTGGTTTGCCACATTTTCTTGCTTTTTGAAGTAAATCAATCCCCATCACTTTGGTGAGAATTGGTTTTCTAGGCAGTTTTTTTATTTTTTTGCAATGGAAACAAATTATATTCCTAATTGCAATAAATTATATCCCTTAAATGGACAATTTTCATGAAAAATAAAGTCAAACGAATACCAAAAGATCCAAAATTTCAATATTTTTTAGGTGAAAAATTATTTTAATCAAACATAGTTAATTGATAATTCTTAGTAAAATAAGTTCTAAATAATTTAATTTCTGTGGTGTGGTTGGCTTTGTTCCGGAGGTGGCGCTTGTGTGGGCTTCGGTTGGGAAGGGCGGCGAGCGAGGAGTGGCCGGGTTTTGGTTGGCCTCGGGCGTGCGCGTTTCCTCCGGTGGGGGTCGACGGAAGGGCTGCTGCTGATGGAGCTCAGCCGGTGGCTTTTTTGGCTGGTTCTCCAAGTTGGCCGTGGACGGGGGTGGTGGTGTATGGTGGTTGTCTTGTGTTGTGTGGTGGTGTATTGGCTGTTGTTCTCTGGTTTTGTTGTTGTGGTATTTAGGTTGTTGTTGTTGTGTTGTGTGGTATGTTTGACAGTCTTGAAGTCTAGACAATGCCCGTTTCCTTGCGTGCGGGGGTGCTCTAGTGCCGAGTGCGTAGTTGACTTTATGTTGGGTTTTTCTCGCCTTGCTAAAGTCGCAGATGTTTTCCGACTTCTTGTATCGTTTGTTGTTTTGGGAGGTGTATAGTCTGTTTGTGTTTGGGTCATTTTGTTGTTTGTAATTGTTTATTGAGCTGTGGTAGCACTTTATCTCTCTTTGGAGAGCATGTGTTGGAGGTCTTTCTCCTTGTATGCTAATGAGCTTTAAAAATGATTTAGGTTTTGAAATTAAATTTATGAAATAATCTGATTTATTTAATTAATTTGCTAATTCTTCTAAAAAAATAAATTAATTTAATTAATTCAATATAAAAAATAAAAACATTATTTATTTTCGGTTCTTATTCGGTTCTTCGATTCTTGGTCGAGACCCGAGACCCGACCCAAACCCATCGGTTCTCGATTCGGGTACCCGTTCGGGTATTTAATTTATGAATAACCGCTCAGTTCGGCTCGGGTTAGGTTCGGTCCGGTTCGATTCGAAATTTTTGGACACCCTTGACAGAATGTGTAATTACAAGGTACGAAAATTTTTTGAGTTGACGTGTAAAATTATTTTATTGAGAAAATGTTCGGTTGAAAACGAGTTTAAGGAAAAATGAGATTTAAAATAATGAGGCTCAAATAGTGACTTAGATAACTTATTTCTATACTTTTAGATTAAAAGTAATTCTTACTCAAAATAAGTACTTATTTATCTTAACTTCTTAAGATTAGGCAAACATGGTTTATTTGGATAGAATCTCATTCTATATTAGGCCATGTTTGATACGGAAGTTTTTCATGGAAGATGGAAAACTTTTTGTGCCATTTTTCACTTTTTAGAGTGTTTGATAGGAAACATTTTCCAAATTATTGGTATTCCACATTTTCTTGGTTTGCCACATTTTCTTGCTTTTTGAGGTAAATCAATCCCCACCACTTTGGTGAAAATTGGTTTTCTAGGCAGTTTTTTTATTTTTTTGCAATGAAAACAAATTATATTCCCAATTGTAACAAATTATATCTCTTAAATGGACAATTTTCATGAAAAATAAAGTCAAACGAATACCAAAAGATTCAAAATTTCAATACTTTTCAAGTGAAAAATTATTTTAATCAAACATAATTAATTGATAATTCTTAGTAAAATAAGTTTTAGACAATTTAATCTCATAAAATTTATTTTCTTTCTACCCAAATTTCATTCTTGCAATTAAATGGACCCTTGACTATTTGGATAGAATCCCGCTCTCCATGAAATTTATTTATTTCCACCAAAATTTCATTCCTATAATCAAATGGACCTTGACTATTTGGATAGAATCCTGCTCTCTTTTAGACTATTTGTCCCCGCAGGTGGCCACAATAATTGCCACAGCCCACCAATTCCGCAGTTACAGTTTCCTTTGTATAATTCCATATATCCTTATCTTATCCTCTTTGTTCGTCAAATTTTCCCTCAGAATTTCATCCATTTTTCTGAACCCAGAAAAACCCATAGACCCTTCAGAAGTGAAAGTATTAAGGAACTATTTTACACATTGTTGAATGGACTGTTGCCTTTTTTACTGCAAACCCAGATTCTCTTTTCCAGCCCTGCCGTCGATTCGCGGTCATCCGATCAATTTGGAAACTGATCGGAGGCCTTTCATTGCGGTGGCTTGTAGTTACAATAATAGTGGCAATAAGTGCGAGTTTGGAGGTTTGAACACGCCGCTCGAGCCGAAGACGGCGGCTGGGAGGTTCTTGAGTGGCGTATTGCTGAATGATCGGGAATACTTTCATGCTGCTGTTAAGAATCAGTTAGAGCAACTGGTGGCTGACAGGGATGAAGCCGTTGCTCGTGCCGAGTACAGCTTGGGCTCTGATGTAGCTTCTCTCCATAGGTTGGTGTTCAATTTGTTACTTTTTTTCCCATCTTTTGCTTATGGTAATTTATTGCATTAAGTTTCAGTCTTTTAGAAGATAATATGGATTATTTTGGTCGAACAGAAAATTGAACCAAGGTAAAAAATTATTATATGTACATACACTATAAAGTTTGTTGCTTTTCTTCAGTATTAATACAAATACTGTATATGTTTGTCAAAAACCAAAAAGTAAAAAATAAAATAAGGAAATAAGGAAAGAAAGAAAATAATAAACAAAAAATAAATACCTAAACATTGATATTTGGTAACATAGCATGATATTCACATAATTTCCAGGAAGGTTGTGATTTTAGCGATAACATATCACAGATTGATAAGCTATTTCAGTTATGAGTTAACGTACGGATTATGGTCAGAATTATATTAAATAAGCAGTTGTATAATCCTGTCATTTCTTGCTTGTATCTGAATGTTTGATTGACCTCCTTTTGTGCCATTGTGAAGATTTTAGTGATTAGCTTGTATATTTTTACATACTCCATGGTACATTTTTGGAAAAGCGCAGAACTCCTTGATAACAGCATGGACCGGAGAAGGTGTACTAGTGCATCGAGTTCCTTGAGAATGTAACGGCATGGAGGATGGTGTACTAGTACTGCCACCGGACATTTTGTGGTTTCATGAAGAAATTTTTCGAGGAGCAGTTGTCATTTGTTGCTCCAAGATGGGACATACTCTGTTGATCGAGAAAATAACCACTTCGGGGATGTCATTGATGGTTTTGGCATTACTACATTTTCGAGGAGGCAAGTTTGAGGAAGTAGAAACTTGGGCATTTCATAAATGATTACTTCATTGAAATAATTGAACTGTAGGCCAAACGAATGCTGATACCTGTAATGCTGGTTAATAATATGAAATCTTCGATTTTTCTTGGTACTTTTACTGACTATGAGAATAAATGAATGGCAGGAGGATTGCTGAATTGAAGAAGCAAGAATGCCAGACCGCAGTCGAAGACGTGGTGTATATGCTAATATTTTACAAGTTTATGGAGATCAGAGTTCACTTGGTCCCAAGGATTTCCAAATGTATCTACAATGGCAGACTCGAAATCTATCCTTCAAAGGACTGGGAACTCCAGTCAATTCACAACTTTGAGGTTTTGGAGATGGTCAAGGAACATATTACTGCTGTTGTTGGCAGGAAAGCAAACTCTAATGTCAAGGATAGTTGGGCCACAACTGAGATCCCGAGGCTCCGTCTCTGTAGACTGTATGCTGCTTCCATCTTGTACGGTTACTTTTTGAAGTCCGCCTTGTTGAGGTACCGTCTGGAGCAGGGTCTAGATCTGACAAACCTGGATTTTGGTACTGATGCTTATCGCCTTCAACTTTCGGAGATGTTGTCTTTAGGATCAAATTACATTGCATTTGATCACATCAACAGACCGAAGTCTTTGTCTATAGGTCAAGTATCATGTAGTCTAGGCGAGAAACACGAGAAATTGAGGTGTTATGTGATGGGATTTGACTCGGAAACACTGCAGATGTGCGCAAAACCAAAGTCCAAGGAAGCTCTGAATCTGATTGAGAGACACTGTTGTGCTCTATTTGGAGATGAGAATACAGGTTTGCTCGAAACCAATAATTCAATTTCCACATCTTTTGCAAGTCTTAAGAGATTTGTGCTGGAGGCCGTTGCTTTTGGTTCATTCCTATGGGACGCAGAAGAATGTGTGAATGCTGTATATAAGCTCAAGGAAAACTGAGAGCCCAGAACCGAAGTTCAACGCTTGCTGCTTCATCAAGCACATTTGTATATATTGATTTTCTTCTTTCGACTCTAGAGGATCCGTACCTCGCAAATGAGGAATGTAGATGAACAGTATATTGTCTTTTCAGCATGGACGTGATAATATTGTATAGAAGTTTAATAGTGAATAAAATGAAAATTTTGAGTATTGTAATTTATGGTTTATTTAATTACTGTTCTGAAGTTACATCTAGCAACACAAGATCAACCAACCTCGAACGGCAAGTTTTAATAGATCTTGACCGTTCGCCCGACGATCAAATCTCAACTAACAATAAAATTAAGAAGCCGGCAATGAACAAACAAGTTGTCAAAGAATCTTCGTGGCAAAATCTTTGCACTAACGTAGAAACTTATCCATTGATCAAGTGCTAGATATTTGAATTGCACACAACTATATGATAAAAGGAGACAACGAGAAGAAGCACATGTTCAACAAAGTGCATTGGACGCTCAAGGAAGATTAACTCCTTGCAAAACTGATTAAAAACATGGTGCAAGGAGCACGACACCATCGCATGCTTATCTTTCTACACATTTGATTGCAATATCGAAGCAAATCTCCTACTATGAAGTGAAACGGGGCATGCAGATTTATCTCGGCTCAAGTACAAAGATAGCAATCTTTACATTGGCGGAGACATAACCCACGGATGTTTTTAGTCTGCAGTCAGCATCTTATTACAACTGTCTGGGCAAATACCTCATGGTTTGGAGGCATCAATGACGGTGATGTTGGGTTGACATGGAGGCGTCACTATAGAACTCTTGGAGCACAATCAAGGGCCTATCTGCAACAATCTCAACTAGGTCATTTGAATCGGCCAGGAATTTCAAAGAGTTGCATGTTTGGCAAAATGTTGGAATTCTAAAGAAAGACAGCTTTCCCTAGTCGTGGAATTAGTATACCAGAGAGCCTAACTCGTCCAAATAATCAAATTGCATGTTTGGTCAAGTAGATACGGCATTCAAGATTTTACATTCAATGAACTCAATTGGCGTCAAACCCGATGAATTTACTTACACCGAATTGATTGATTCACTTTGTAAAATAGGAAATCTGGGGCAAGCAAATGCCTTTTTGGGTGTGAAGGTGAAAAAAGGAATAACTCCTGATGAAGTGACACTGATTGCTCTCATTCATGGCTATTGCAAGAATGGCAACATTAGATATGCACTTAGTGCTTTTTGAAGGATTGGTCAAGGATGGATATTTGATTGGTCCTCATACTTTCAATCTATTTCTTGATGTTCTCAGCAAAGCAGTTAAGATAGTTGAAGAAAATGCTATTTTTGGGAAGATGCTAAAGAATGGTCTAGTTCCCTCAGTTGTTACTTATACAATATTAGTTTATGGGCTTAAGGCTTTGTAGGACAGCTGATACAAACTCTTCCCTGAAAATGTTAGAATTTATGAAACAAAATGGGTGTCCACCAAATGTTTATACGTATATTGTAGTCATTAATGGTCTTTGTCAGAGTGGCAAAGTGGAGAAAGCGCAGAATCTTTTAATTGAAATGAGCCGGGTTGGAATATCACCATATGACATTACATATGCTTCTTTTGTCAAGTCACACGTCGAGGCCGGTAGGTTGAACTCGGCATTTGAAATTGTGAGCACCATGTTCCAAAATGGTTGTCTGCCAAACACTCGAATATATTTGGCGTTACTCATGAGACTAGTGGAAATGGCAACTACAAGAGCAAGATTTTCCGTTTCTGATATAAATACTGAGTCATCGATTATTGGGGAGAAATGTGTTGATTGTTTGTCCAACTTTGTTTTTAGGGAGATGGATTTCTACCATGCTGTTCAACTTTGAGAAATAAAAAAATACAGTGGTCACACTATTGATGTGTACAACTTTTTAATAGAAGTAGATAATCAACTACAGGATGTGGTGAAGCTTGGTGTCACTCCTAGAAGTCACATTTGTTCTTCCATAATCGAGCACTTTTGTGAAGATCACAATTTGGTCAATGCCTTGAGTGGATTAAACGACTTCTTGACTATGGTTGTATTCCATCTTTTACATCTTACAGTGCTGTGATTGTTGGCCTTCACAATGAGGGGTAAGTTTGAGGATGCTCAATGGCTGATATGCAACCTTCTAAGAACTGCTGGCATCGAGGACCAAACTTCAGTCTTGCCTTATATTGATTTTTTGTTGGGGGGAGATGAACCTTGTAAATATTTTGAGCTTCTAAGCTTGAATGAGCGGATGGACCAAAATGAGAGGCCAGTAATCTAAGGATGCGTTTGATTGCAAGGGTAGAAAATGAGTGGAAAGAAAATATTTTACAGGGAAAAGATTTGCCTAGAAAATGTTTTGCAAGAAAAATGATTTCAAGTGTGTTTGATTGATATAATTTTCAGTCCGGAAAATTTTTAAATTTTCTATTCGTTTTGACTTTGTTTTACATGGAATGTGTTTGTTAAATTGATAATTTTTTCCACAATTGATTATAAAATTTGTTTCCATTGCTAAAAAGTTAAAAAAAAAACAAAAAAAAAAAATTGTTACAAAAAAATAATTTTTTTAANTAAAAAATCATTTTTTTCATCAAAGTTTAGAGTTCGTTTGACTTAGTTTTACATGAAAATTATCCATTAAAGTGAAAAAAATTTTTACCATTGGTTATAACATTTGTTTCCATTAAAAAAAAAAAAAAGATTTTTTTTCCAACCAGCCTGGAAATTTTTTTCCCACCAAAGAAGGAAAATATTTTCAATGGAAAATTTCGCCTATCAAACAGTCAAAAAAGTGGAAAAGTGAAAAATATTTTTCTAGTTCCCTGAAAAATTTGGCGTATCAAACAGGGCCTAACTTTCTCACAAATTTACTTGAAACAATTGATTTGTTGTGAAAGTTTCAAATTAAGACTTATTTGACATTCTCATCAATAAGTTCAAATTACTTATCGTTTGAGCCCCGATTTTGTGCAAGAATGTATTTTGAAATAGTATATTGGTGGAAAATGCTTAATTAAAAAATAAGAAAAAAATATGAGTATGAGTGTAATATTATTTTATTGAAAAATGTATGGTTAAAAAGAAGAGTCAAAAAACAAGTATTTTAGAAATAATGAGGATCAAACAAGTTAGATACAATTTTGAAAATAACTTTTTTTTATTAATACAATTTTACTTTCGAAAAATTAATTAGTGCCGTCAAACGTTCCCTTAGAAAATTCATTCCCGGCAAATGGACTCTGTGGAGTTGGAAAATAAGCACCACCACCACCACAACCCTCCTCCTCCTTACCGCCGCCACCTCCCTCCTCCTCCTCCTCCTCACCCCCACCACCACCACCATCAATTCTCTTATATATCTCCTCATTGCCCACATCACAGTTATCTTTTACGGCAAAAGAATCATTCACAATCATGCCCTTTTTTCACCAGTCGCTCCTCCCCTCAGAACACGGAACCATTTGCTTTTGTTCAATCCCAAACCCATCAGGGTTCTGAGTGCAACGAAACGCACAATAACTCCCTGTAAGTGCTCCCTTTAAAATCAATTCTTTATTGTTCCTTCAAATACGATATAAATTGTGTATCTTCTCAATTTTATGATTAAAAATTTGAATTTTGTACTGATTGCAAAGAGCTATCAGTTATATGCTACTATTTATTCTTAAATCACATCTTGCTGCTATAAATTAGGTTCATGGTTTTTGTGCATCTGCTTGGAATCTTATTTATTGTTGTAGAAATTCTTGTCTAGGATTTATAGGGATCTTTCCACGGAAATCTGATTATTTTTTACAATTCAAATTCCAAAACAGAAGAAAAGGATGGGAACAATTTATGTGTATTTTTTCAAATTTTTGTATGAAGACTTGAATTGATGATTCTGTCATGCACAATAAAGTAGAGTTGTGTTTCTAAGAGTAGTGTCCTTTGGACGAAGAATTATATATGGAGGAGACGAGTTAAACTCTACTTGGGAACAGTTTACGACATACTACCTAGAGATACAATTACAAAGATTGGATGTGTGTTTTAAGGCGAAAGTCAAGACACAGTCGATAGCAATCAAGCAGAGTGATTATTCTCTCTATTCTAGTCTTTAGTTCATCCCTTAATGTCACAAACAGCCCCATGGCGAAGTTGTAATGGTCTATAAAAAGTTAAAAACCAATATTGCTATTGGAGTAAGGATTATGCAAAACTTTCCATTTCATGATCTTCAAATTTCATCCCGTTCTGATTTAAAGTTTGTTGAATTAAGTGTTTCATTGGGATTTTTGAGTTCCTTTCAGTTAGAGGAAACAAGATTTGTAAAGATTAGACGCTGAAGCGCTACAATATGAGATCTTGGACATCTAGTGCGATGAACATGGCTTTTTAAGACTTGCAAATATTTGACTGATACGTCCAAACTGTTCAGTGATTCTCATTGAATCCTGCATGTAACCACAATCCATCATGCAGACCATGGATTCTATTTATTTGGATTTCAGCAGTCTTTGACTCTTTGTAAATGATTAGCAAACAATTTGCCAACTCTTCGTTTCCGTGACCAAAGAATGAGAGATGTTCGCTATATTGAGTCAATAACCAGAACACACCAATTTTCATCATAAATTAAGAATCCCTGAACATTGCAAGTATTTAATACACTTTTTTATGCTACTCACTTTTTTTTGTAACCATCCACCCTAAAACTCTATGTTCAACGCAACTCTAAATTTTAGTCTACCTGAAAATCTAATCCTAGATCTGCCCCTGGTGGTGTGGGCTAAACTCCACCCTAGTGCATTCATACTAGCTACTGGGTCTTATGGCACTACTGTTGTAAAAATCTTTGTAATTTTTGCCCCTTTACATCTATCTGGTGTTACCATCGTAATGGATAAATTTTGCTGCAGATATAGTTGTTTTTTTTTTTTCACGCATTTATTCAAACTGGTTTATATATTATGGTTGAGAAAAGGATGACACGGGATGAGATCAAGAAACTGGAGCTGGAAGAGGAAGAGGAGCCAGTCTTTGTTCTAACAGACGAATGGAAGGAATTCTTTGCTAAATCTGAAGCCAAAAGGAGGCTAGGTCTTCCAATATTTACTCCCTTTTCTTTTTTTTTTAACCTCCGATAGAACATAGATCTTACAGTTTCCTATTTTTGGCATGCAGCAAAGAAGCAGGCTAAGAAAAAGGGGAAGACTTAGATGGAGAAAATTAGCCAAAACACTCCGTGCGCATGTTTTGTAGAGACAATCAGCTGGCCGTAAACAAATTCCTTAGCAATTGAATATGCCCTGTAACTCCCAGAAATCATCATATTGGCTTGGGGCCAATGCTTCTATTCTAACAGCAGTCTTGGTTTTTTTTTTTTTTTTTAAGGATTATGGTTTGACTGTGTTGAAATGGACTTACCCTCCCCCTCCCCTTCTCGTACTTGAGACTTGAGAATTGTATTTGTAATTAAGAAAAAAAAAAGTTACAAATCTTGTTCATTGTGGGGTTTATTCCTATCTAGTGTTTTCTCCTTTGAGATGAGTCCTTCAGATACTCTAGTAAGTTAAAGAATAGAACTTCTTGGTTAAGTATAATGATCGTACAAATTGCTCAAACAATTATGTTACATGTACATCTTTTTTTACATTGTGCCACGTGACGACACATGATTAGTCAGTTTTGAAAAAAAAAAATGATTTTCCACCCAACACGTTTTGAATTTCAATAGAGAGTACACAAAGATGCAAATCAAAAGATGTACACTTAGCATTATTCTTGCTCAAATTGCTCGAGTGTCAATTATTGATGCTATACTTACCTAAAGCAATAATATTATAATTCGGCGCTTGACAATCATATATAGAAAGTTCAAATTCTTCGATCATTAGACTAAGCACTCTTAAATAAATAAATCTACGAACTCTGTACATTTATTTGCGTCCCTGTCCTAACTTCGTTTTCTAATATTATCTCGTATTGTCTATTCTGCCTATCAAACATTCCATAGAAATCTAATATATACATCCATTATTTTGGTAGCTTGCTCATGGCTGCGTTAACTCTATCTTCTGTAATCAGTTTGTGGCTGTCGTAGAAATCCAATATCTCCATTGCAATGTTTTTTACCTGTAAAATAATAATGCGGGTTAAATAGATAGACAAAATATAGCAGGCTACACTAGTCCAGGAAAACTTAGCACGTCGCACAAAGATTCTGTTGCATCCATTCACTTGCAATTAGAGTTTGTATAAATCGATTCCACAAACTGATGATATGTGAATTTCCAAAAGTAATCCAAGAAATTATGGTTCTTGAAAAAATTTAAACATTTGAAGATCTAGTGCTCGAGACCTTAAAAGACTCGGTTTAGATGACTTACAACATTCATATCAACTCGAAGCTCTTCAAACCAGGCTGTATTTTCTTTATCCTTTTGCACGCTAGCAATGTATAAGCAAGCCAATGCAATCAAGTGGGGAGGATGTATAAGAATCAAATCCATCTTGTAAGTGTCATTGACAAGTCCCCTATAAGGATCAAAATACCAGAGTATGATTCATAGCTTCCAATGATCTATATGACAATCAGATTGAATAAAATACGAGCAAAAGAAAATCTACTAGGAAGAAAACCGAAAAGTAAAAAAAAAAAAGGATTCTGTCATGAGAAAGCAGAAAATTCCAAATAGAAATTGCTCGTGATGGATCATTATTTCATGTTAGGAGCATGTTTGACTAAGCTAGTAAAAGTTGCTTTCTTACATTTTGAGACATGCTAACTTTGACCGATGAAAAAGTTATTTTTCCAAAACTTGTATACTCGAAAGTTTTGCATACAAAGTGAAGTTTTTAAGATTAGACAATCATGCTCGAATCCTCAAGTGAATTCGTTGTCATCAAAGCTGGATTTGGTTCATGAAGAGGAAGTATCTAGTGGCTTTCCAAGCAATAAGTAGTAAAAAGGAACAAAAGTCAAAACATACTATAATTATTTATACTTGTACATTTGCATATCAAGGGAACATAAGACTCATCAGCTAGTTATCCATGTCTAAGATGGGAAGCAGACTTGGGATGAGTTCGTTACCAAGTTAATTGTGTTGCATCGTTCATCCCAGCATCCTGGAGTAACCTAATAATTTGGAGTTGCTGTTAGAAAAATTAAGGAGCAAATTTTTTTTAAAGGTTAATTGAATGTGATGTATCTCATAAAGACCATCTAAAAGTAGCTCAGATAAAGGTTACAGCACAACCAAAATATATCATTGTTACAGTCGAAGAAAGTGAATGCACATATTCTTATTGAAAACAACTCATAAAAATTGAATTGTCAAAGAAGGTTCAATTTTTGTTGGAAATGGGTTTGTCATATGTGTATAGATATATATGTGTCAAGGCATATTTCATTTTTTGTTAAAAACAGTGAGAATATGTAATGATCCTATTTCTGCTTGGCATTATATTAAACAATTCACAATTGAAGATATACTTACGGAGAAAGTGCACGGTAAGGATGGAAAACAACTAAATAATAGTTGAGGGCTTCCAAAATTTTCATTTCCATTTCGAGTATCTCCTTTATTTCAAACCTATACTTCTCATCGGAATCTGCAAAAGTAAAATGGCAGCTCTAGCCACTTATCATGGAGCCCGAATAACATGTCAGAAGAGAGAAATTCACAGCAGATGGTTTATAGAGGATAAAGATATGAGCAATTACATAGTTTCTTGATGTAAAATACAAGTAGTCGAGCCTGCACTGTGCATTCTTCTGCTTTTGATGCCAAGTACAAGCAAGTTGGAGCAACCAGACGAGGATCATATTCAGTCATACTTTTTCTGAAAACGAGATAATAGATAATGCTCAGAGGTGCAGGCTTTAGAAGATACGTAATGACAAGAGTTCCATATGCAGAGCAAGATCATTTTCAAAGTTTGACACTGACAACAAAACTAAATATGGAAGAGTAACTTTCATATATTAATATAGACGATACAAAAGTGATAAGGAAAATTCAGCAGTTTCAAACTTTTTGAAGAAATTTATCAGTTTATGCATTAACAAAATATGTAATCACCATTTGACCCTCGAAAAAGGATACTAATGCCTCCTTGAAAACATGGTTCTAGTGAAATTCGACTTGAATAAATATCCAATTCATGAAACACCGCCAAAAAATTCCTTCATTGACACAATATTTGCATAAAAAACATGCTAAGAAAATGCAAAGGAATATAAAGCAAACTATAGATCATTAATACTGCAGTTTGTATGATCATTAAAGCTCAGTGATAACACACCTCACATAAACACGTCTCATGTAGGTAATGGCAGTAGCAACAACCCTGGAAATTAATCAACATAAAGGGATTGTCAAAACGATTATGGAAGTGGAGAAAGAAATGTTTATTATGCACAACTCATCCTACTAATTGGTGTCAGTACTTCAGAAATATCATTAATCACAAGTTATTTATAACAAATCTGGAAACATTTCGCATGTATTTCCTGACATTGTAGAAATAACATTTAGCTACAAAACCAACTCAAGTGAACTGCAGTGTATACCACCATTTTGAATATACATGAACTCTGAGATGTCACGCATACATATCACAATAGATTTTGACATAATTATTTGAAGCACACCATCCATCAGTAATATATCGAATACAGAACTTAAATGTGCAGTTCTTTCACCTCTGATGAAGTTGAAAGCACAACCAAATCATGGTCTCAATTTCTCCATCCTACTTATCTGATTTTTGTGAGATCTCTAGTATTTAATTATTTATGATTGCTTCCAAATGCAGGGGATAAAGATGACAGTAGTAGAACAATGGAGATCAAGCATTAGACAAAACCTTGGATACGAAGAGTGTGAGTGGTAACGTGATCAAGAGAAGTGCAAGAGTGAGAGCACAATGTCATGCTCCAGCCATGACGCGATCAAAATCATGCAAGAGCAGCCAAAACATTTACTCAACAATGCGCAAGGCAAGGAGTCCTAGGAAGAGTGGCAAGATAGCTGCAAGCAAGGACTGAAGGCAAAGCGTCGCAATACTAAGCGAAGGGGCCTAAGGCAGGGAATGGAAAGAAAGTGTACTGTGCGATCAAGTGGATCTCTATCACCCATTCAAAGGAGGTGGGTATAAATAAGCCAAGGGAGCCTCATTTATAAATTAAGTTAGCAAAGCTAAGAGAGCTGGACTGAGTAAGTGACAGTAAGAGCATTGTAACCTATGTTGCACTGACACGTTGCTGGAGCCAACATGTGGTGTCTGACGTTTTGGACACCAACACTCGTCGGACATGCTACAACACATGTCAGTGCTTCAAATCTCAGCTGAAACAAACAATGAGAAGTTGTCTCAGAAAGAAAAATAGAGCTAACTTCATATCTCAATCAATGAAGGAAAAGAAGGCTGATTGGTTTGTGAAATTTCGCATAGTCGATCACTAACAATGGATTAATTTGCAAAACCTATGTCTATGAGCAGAAAGCATCTTCTTTTTACGAGGTGTGAAAAGGAAAGCCCGTCCCTACGATTACCATGAAAAGACAAGAAGCGGTATTAATTAAAAAACAAAAATGGTCAGACTTGAAAAATAAATCGGTGGTTGTTGGTTGAAAAAAGGCAGTAGCATACATTATTAAAATTTTCCCTATTGAACATATATTAAAAATACTTGAATCAAAACCAAATTTGAAATGTCTGGTTTCACATTAACCTTATTTTGTTTTACTTATTTTTATTTTAATCAGAGTGTCCCCAACATGCCGTGACCTATTTTTCAAAAATCACATGTCAACGTGTCTATATCGTGTTCTTGTCCGTACAACCTAGATTCATCTTAAAAGGTTAATCTTATCAAGAGGAGTAGCCCGAACCCTTATATATTTGTCTATATTTTCATTTTTATTCGATGTGAGATTTATCCCTTGACATGCCCCTATAGGATAGCGGTACGTTTGAGCAAACAAATCTTAAAATTCAGGCACTTATTTTTTTAGTTTTAATCGGATCGAATTGTTCGTTAGAGCTTAATGCGCTCTGATCATATTAAGACTTGGGAATTCATCTTAAAAGGTTAACCTTATTAAGATTTATCCCTTAACTTTCATTTTATTTTTATTCAATATGAGATTTATTCCTTAACTTCATTTATGGGTTATATTGAATTCTTAGATTTACATTTGGGATTCTA